GGAGGGAATGAACTCATATACTTGACGCATGTCAGTCTGGCCGCCCGTCCTCGTTGTGCTGCCCACTGTGCAGAGTTTCGCACCCAACTTGGACGAGTTCGTGCACTTCTGGCTGTTGACGAGCGCATTCTCGTACGCAGGCATCGTGGGTGGTGGAAGCATTCGATTGTTTCCCACGCGTCGGAGGCCCATGGTGCCCTACTCCCTTTGTTGTTAGGCTTCTCTCCTACGGTCGCCCGCAAGGTTGCCCAACGAAGATTGCACGATCACTTTCCTTAAACGCTGGCACCCGAAAACTGCGCGTTAGGTGATAGAAATTCACAGCGCTCGTCTTATGAAGTGGACCCCCATGGTTGACCCCGACAGGTTCCCCAATATGGTGTGGAGGCTCCAGGTGCTCAGTAAGAATGTCAGCCCGTACGTTGCCGCCACCCTGATTAGGATTGCCTGCTGAGGCCTTTGTACGTCTTCCCGCTTTGGGTCTGCCGCCAGGCACTGTATCTTCGGTTGCCAGGGCTGCGCAGACACGGATAGCCCACGACATTGCGCTGTATGTCCGAGGATGCACGGGATGATGTGTCCATGGGTTTTGATTGACATTCCTGAGATGGTCACGATTGGTTCCCCCACCTCCTTTACCTCACCCCTCGCCTCAGTGAAGAAACTGTTTTTCGTTTCGCCAGGGTCTGTAATGCCTTCTTTGTTGTACGTGATGTTGTCCGTCGAGGGTCCCGTGTCAGCTTCCCGCAGTTATTTGACGGAAGGATTCGTGTTCACTGTCGCCGCCACCCCGTCTTGCAGGCTGGATTGAATCAGAGACCGTGATGCAGTTGTTTTTCTTGCTCTCGCTTGCTGTTGGTGTGATATGCCCTGACTGGAACGGGGTCGGCGGATTTGAACGCTCAGAGCTGGTGCGTGCACAGATGCACTGCTTGGGGCTTGGCCCCAACCGCCTTCCGACAGGAAGCCGAACAAACCAGCGGGAATTTGGTGTTTGAAAGAAAAAGTCAGGCCCCCTACGGGCTGGCGTTTTGCGTTCCGCACCCGCCCAGCCTGATCCAAGTGGAACGTTTCTGGCTGGGGGGGTAGGTCCCAAGTACAGAGCCCCTACTCCCCTCGGCCCAATTCAGCTGTGGTTTTTGTTGCAATCGGGTTCGGTTCCACAAATGAGCGCAGTTCCCGCAGGCCTTCTCCTGAGTTGGCCCGGCGTAGACCCTGCGGTCGTATCGTCAGCTTGAGCCAGTCTGAGAAACGCAACGTGCAACAGCAGGGGCAGCCCCGAAGAGAGGGAGCTGATCCCGATAGCGCAGAGCAGAATGCGAAACCCTAGTAGGCGTCAAGCAGCGGCGCCAGGCTTCAATTAGGGCTAGCAGCATGAACCAATAGCCATCATCATGGCGATCACCAGGTGGTGACGAAAGGTGGAGCTGACGCGGGGACGATACATACGTGACGACAGCAGCGTGCAGAGTGGGCGAGGTAGCTATGAGGAGAGGAGGCCCTTCTCCTCCTCCACCTTCTCCTCTTTTTTTGACGTCGGCCATACATGGGGCGAGAGTTAATTGCGTAGTCCTCGCCCTCCTCTTCCGCCTCCTCCTTCTTCCTCTTCCTCCATATTCCGTCCTCCCTCCCTCCCACTTCCGCGCTGTCGTGTCTAGCGCTTCGCGCCGTCCGCCGCCCTCTCTTTTCTGTGCGTTGGGCCGCATGGTACTCAGAGTTGGGCCCTTCGCTTGGAGGGGTGGCGGCCTGAACTAGAGTATTCCCCTCGGCTCTCGGGATGAGAGTCTTTCATCACGGCGGCGCGCAGACTGTTGCAATCCCGGGTCCGACCCAACCTTCCCTCTTGCCCCTCCATCATTCCTCCTTGTTCTCCTCTCTTCTCCATCCTCCTATCTCCACCTTCTCCAACTCCACCTCCTTGTCCGCGCTCGTCTGCTTGGCTCCAGGAGCGGAATCGCGGATCGAGATTCGAGGAGGACGCTTGAGTTTTGAAGTTGTTGCAAGTTTTCTGATGTCTTACATGGCCTCCAGACGATGGCTTCTCGTCGCCACGGCTGCATTCCACTCGAAATTTTCGTCGGGCGACGATCTGAAAGGGGAGGAGGGGGAGGAGGAGCAGGAAAAGGAGGAAGGAGTCGGACCTCGGGTTCGAGGTTCGAGCTTCGAGGGGGAAATATCTTCGCCATGGTCGATATGTGCTGGCCAGTCTCAGGCCCCAGGTCCGTCAGGGAATCGCAGATAGGCCGGGATGGGCCTGGAGGGGTCTGGGGAGCGATCTCTCCCGCAGCCCCAGAGCATCGAGGAAATACGATCGAGGTTCCTTTTGCCTAGGACCCAGAATTTCGGATCGGGGATCTAGGGTCTAGGATCGATGATCTAGGATTTTGAATGTAAGCCCTCTCGTGCCTCTGGAGGCCTCCTGGCGGCTTTGGAGACCTCCATAGAGGCTTCTGGGGACTTCTGGGGACCCTCCAGTGCAGCCACAGCCCCAGGGGTGCGCTTTGGAAGGGGAATGCCCTAGAGGAGGAGGAGGAGGAGGAGGAGGAAGAAGAGGAGGAGGAGGAGGAGGAGGAGGAGGAAGAGGAGGAGGAGGAGGAGGAGGATCGAGGTTCGAGGTTCGAGTTCGAAGACAATTGGTGCACAATGGTTGGCATCTGGGGGCCTGTTTCGGGCCCCAGGGCCGCCCAATATTGCCCCGCGGCGAAGGCATGGTCGGAAATCCGAGGATCGAGGATCGAGGATCGAGGTTCTTGTATATGTTTGGCCCCCTGCGGGCCTCTGGAGGCCTCGGAGTGAGGGGAAAGATGAGCTGAGAGGAGGCGTGAGGAGGGAGGAGGAGGTGGCATGTGGAGGGAACGGAACGGATACGATTTCGATCCTGAGCATTGGTTCGCTTCACTACACTGCTGAACAAACATGCATGTAAGGATCTCCGCGTAACTCGGGTCTATAACCTGCAGTCTCGCTGGAGCGAGCCCCCTGGCGCTAGGCAGGACCGTCGAGAAGGGGAACAGCCCATGACGGCCATCTTGAGGAGGGAGGAGGAAGAGGAGGAGGAGGGAGAGGAGGCGGGTACTTCGATTCGTGAGAAGCGGGACGAAGATAATGATGATTATTTACAGCGTATTGCCCAACGCATCTTCCAGTTCATGTCTACGCACAGTTATAAACCATCCACGACGCAGTCTTGGAAGCGTGCTTCGTGGAGCCGTGTTGGGAACGTGAGCATAGTCGCCATTGCTGGGAAGGCGCGGCTAGGCGTGCTCGTGATTACCACGCGCGGGACCTATGGATACTGGTGCCGGAGGCCTCGCCAAGCGAAGGCGGACTGAAGGTCTCTTGCAACGTCCTGGTGGTCGTCGACCAGCGTGGGAGAAACCGAATGTAAATTATCTTGGAGAGGCGTGGCGAGGACAATGGCGTACTCTGACACGGGTCGAGTGGATGCTTCGGAGTGGTCTTTCGTAACGCGTATGTTTGCTCGCTGGCACTTGCCATTGCGCGAGGCTCGGGATGAACCTCCGCGGAAGCGGCCGAGAACCGAATTGACGCAGAAGCAACGGCTGATTTTCCGCGGCCCCGAGCCTAAGGTCGACGAGCTCCATGACACAGTGGCGAAGAGCGTATACTGGGCTTCGTCACGGAGATGTCTTCTGTACGCGATTGATTCCTTATCTTTACAATACGTAGTATGCGGTCATGCGAAGATCCACGATCCAATTTGCGAGTTTCTTGTTTGGCGTATATTGGATAGGACCGTAACATATCTGCAATGGTTGAAGACCTCCCTAGGTACTTGCAAACCCGGTTCGATGGCACAGGAGATGCCACAACCCAGTGGCGGACGGGCTGGCGGATTCGACCATGGACAGAATGACATCATGGAGCCAGCGTTGCCAGACGACGCTCCCCGCCGAGAGCTCCAACATCATCGTCCAGGCAGACGGAGGGCTTCGCGACGATGGTTGCGCCGCTGCAGCTTGGATCGCTGGTCTTTGGGGAATGCCACTGGCGAATGTATGTTCGAGCCGCTCGTTGTGCACGGCACTGTCTTGCAAATGCCATGTACAGTGTTAGAAGTTGAGGCACTCTTATTTTGACGAAGCATTCAACTGTTCTGACTGTTTAAACTCAACGAGCCAAAAGCTGAACTTCAGGTTTCCTAAACTTCATGCAAAAAAGGAGAATGATGAGGAGCATGAGGGGGAAGAGGAGGAGGAGGATGAGGAGGAGGAGGAGGAGGATTGCTCACTAGTGTCCACTGGCGCACGCTCTTCCAGGCGATGGGCTGCAGCGCATGACATTGATAGCAATTGGCGTGGCGTCGCCCTGCTAGCCCGCAAGTTTGTGATGGAAGGGGATGTGGAAGTTTCGGAGGCAGCTACGTGTATATAGATATAGGCTTTCAATACACTACATCAATGTGTGGGTGTAACAAGTGTGCATGTACATGTGCACATATAGGCGTATATATGTATATATATATATATGTGTATATGTGTATGTGTGTGTTGAAATAGAGCCGAACGCACTTGTCAACGTCCTTCTGCGCTGCAGATGCCCAGGCGCGGGGTGGCCCACAGACCAAATACAATGTGACTGTTTCCTCGATTTGGTAGAGGACGCGCGTGAGACAGACAGAGAGAGAGAGAGAGAGAGAAAGAGAGACAGAGAGAGAAAGATAGAGACAGTCGGGGGAGGAGGGAGGGGCAGGGAGGAGGAATGAGAAGGGAGGAGCAGGGAGAAGGGAGGGAGGAGAGAGAGAGAGAGAGCAATCCTGTGCGGACCGTCGGGAAGAGGCGGGCGGAACAGGGAGGAAGGAAAAGGGAGGATAAAGGTGCGTGAAGGCAGGCGGAGGGAGTGGAGGGGGAGGGTTTGGGGAGGATGCAGAAGGGACGATCATAATGTTGAGTGTGGCGGGGAGAGCGGGGGGAGGGGGGGCGAAGGGGGGGATGGGGACAAACGAGAGGAGGACGGGCGATCCCGCCCCGTGGCCACAGACAACGGTTGTCCACTGACCGGATACCGGATCTACCAGGACACGGACGAGGACCGCGCGGGGCTTGGTTTTTGATTATTTGAGGTTTTCTAATGGTTTTTGGTGGTCATGGTAGGGCTTCATGAGCTGACGACGAGCACCCACCCAGACCTACAAGACCCACAGATTTCACGGTCAAGAATTCTTGGTGGGGCTATGTGGCTATGGGGGTCTGTTGTCGGATTGGGGTAACCCTCCAGATAGGGGGGTCCCCTTCAGGGTCTGACAGCTCGCACCCATACCTAGATCGCCTTCATCGCGTTAGCCTTCCCTGCGGTGGGGGCGTTCGTTAAGGAACGTGCCCAGGAGGCTCCATACCCTGGAGGATTCCTTCTCTGGTGAGGGCGGCGGTGGTATTCAGAGTCAATCGACGATGGGACTGCCACTGGTTTCAGACCCTGGAATCCTTATCGAATGGTTCCGTATCGAATGCCTCACCGTAGTCCTCATCCTTATGAGTTTGAACGCGTGTTGTTCTTTCTAAAGGGTTCTAGGTGTTCGACGTGCGGCGGTGATCATCGGTAACCTCCGCGCGGGCATGCTGTCCGACGTGCTTCATGTTATTGTGATTCCTGCAGGGTGTTCGTTTCTCCGGGGGCGGGGGGAGATAGGATCCCCGCCCACCCAGCAAGGAGGAGGGACGATGATCGAGTGTACATGCTGTGTTGTGTGTGTGTGCGTGAGTGTGGCACTTCCACCTGCCGTCCGCGCCTGAGGATCGCCTGCGCCGCCGACTTTAAAGTGTGTGCGTGAGTGCGTGTGTGCGTGTGTGCGTGTGATGTGTGTGGAGGGGGCACTCATTGGGGCCTCGGGGGGAGGAGGAGGCGGAGGAGGAAGAGGAGGAGGAGGAGGAGCAGGAGGATGCTAATTCTTGTTCACGGTGACTGGGTCGAGACCTGCAGGGGATCACGTTATGAAAATCGTGGCGTCGGGGTTCTGAGAGTGGCCTTCGGCCCAACCCGCCACCGTGCCTGGTTGTGGACCAGGGGCCGCTTGGATGTCTCCTAGGGTCTCTCTTGAGAGGCATCTGTCAGGCCCCTCGGAGGCCTCCCCGCCCAGGGCCTGAAGTCTTGCGAGAGAGACCCTGCAGCGACAGATCCCCACGGAGGCCAGGGCTTCGCGGGCGCCAGAGGCACCCACGTCGCCGAGCAGGTCAGGACGTCGCAGGTCTGGGCCCTGTGCTTGTTAAGAGTAGTGGCTGGGGCGTCGGTGGTTGATCCGAACCGCATAGACAGCTTTAAGCGCTTTAAGCATAATGGAAGTTGTTGAGGGTGTCCCTGGCCCAAGGTGTCCCCAGCTCTTCGCTCTATTTTGGAATCCCTGGGGCTCTCTGGGCCTCGTGAGATGTGCTCTTGAGGCCGGGGGGGCTCCCTGGAGTTCTTTTGGGCGCTTTGGACCACGGCCACTTCTGGCACCACCCAGATCGAAGCATCTACCTAGAAGTCCGACCACCATCTTCCGTGACCCCAGAAGGTGGTTAGCGGGACAAGGATCTTGCGAGGGCCAGGCGCAAAACGGGCCAGCCACCATATGGATTACGAAGTGGTGGAGTGGGTGGCGCGAATTTGGGCAGACAGACAGCAGCACTCACCGTTGCATGAATCACTAAGTCGTTCATTCCAATCGCGCCGGGTGCACCGCGCGGAGCGCGCTGGGGGCGGCGCCAGAGGCGCCGCCAGGGACTCCTCCTCCTGCCTCCTCCTCCTACTCCTCCTCCTCTTCCTCTTCCTCTCCCTCCTCCTCCTCCTCCTCCTCCTCCTCTTCCTTCTCCTCCTCCTCCTCTTCCTCCTCCTCCTCCTCCTCCTCCTCCTCCTCCTCCCCCACGCCTCCTCCTTGTCCAGGTTAACGTATCGATTTCGATGATTGTTTGCGGAGGCCAGCCACTCTCCTCCTTCGTCTCCTCACACTGTCGACCAGAAGCTCCCTCAGCCAGTGGGTCCTTTGGCACGGGGGGCTGGAGCCCAGCGGGGGGCTACGTACGTGGCCCACGATTGAGCCAAGACCCGAGTTCGCCAGATGTCCCTCATCTATTATTATTACCCTCATCCCACCTATCCTTCTCCTCCTTCTTCTCCTCTCACTCCTTCCCTCCTACGCCTCTTCCTCCCCCCTGCCTCCCCCCTCCTCCCCCTCCTCCTGTTCTCCTGGTCTCTTCCAACGCCTCTTCCCCCCTCTCCCCGCTCTGCCTCCTTTCTCTCCTCCTCCCCCTCGGGACGGATCTTGCGACCCCCTTGTTCGGCTTTGGGCCGCCTGGTGAGGACGGCGTTGCCGACGGCGCCGACATCTACCCAGGAGGGCGGCCTTTTCTGGGCGCCCGCCGTGGAGGAGGAGGAGGAGGAGGAGGAAGAAGAGGAGGACGATTGGTGAAGGACAAGGGGCAGAGGAGATGGCGTGATGCGGGAGGAGGGGAGGTAGGGGGGAGGAGGGGGAGAGGAGGGGGAGATAGGGACAAGGCGGAATGGTGGAGGGGAGGGGGAGGGGGAGGAGAGTGGGAGGAGGAGGAGGACAAGGAGGAGGTAAGTGATCGAAGCCGCCGTGTCTCAGACGTGCAGGCAGTACGCGCAGACCCAGAGCAGGCTACGAGTAACTAATGTCAAGCTGTGAGGGAGAGTACGTACCCAAACGTGCATTTACGTATTCATACAGCAAAGATGGTCCTGGGCCATTAAGCAGACAAGAGGTCGTTTTGGCGGGCGGATGTCTCGGTTCCATTGGCACAGGGTTGGCGCACACATGCGCAAGCGCATACGCGTTCACGTTCAACGCCATTCGGTTTCAGAGCCGCTCAACATCAGACTTAAGTGTTTTCAGCTGCTCGTGCTGAGTCCTTCATATTCACATGCCGACTCGCTAGTATCCTGGTTCGCTCATTCTCAGTTGTGTTCGCGCTCTACTCCGCTGATGCCCAGACCCGCACATCCTCATCCCCATGTGTATGCCGAATTGCTCATACTACTCAGAGCCATTCGCGGCCAGACCTACCCGGTCTCAGTCGCTCATACTCAGTCGCATGTATTCTCAGCCGATGCATCTTCATACAGTCGTAGAGGAAAGCATCACTACATAGATTTGCATGTGTGGATCGCCATGTGTGTAAGCTTCGGAGAGGCCTACAACAACAGACGGGTCCCACAGGGTTCAGGTTCCGACATTTGGGGCCTCCTTCGGCGTGTCGGCGGGTAACAAGTGCTACAGGTGTAGGGGACGAGGACGACCCGTTTGCCAATGGCTTGGATGCAAGCGTTTTGGAGTTCATCAAGGGTGGCCTCACGACTGCGCAGAGATACGGGTGCTCAGCTTTCTTCTCCTTGCCGTCACAAAGTGACGTATCTCGCAGGTCTGGCGTGTCGGAATTATAGGAGAGGATAGCACAGCGCTGATTGTCAGGACGATGTTTTGCTTTTTTTTCTGCTGTGCGTATCATTCCCGCCCTGTGGCATTGGTATCGGCCTCGGTCGAGCTCTCTCCGGCCTCAAACTTCTTTGGTATTCAGTGCTGCTTTTGCACAGGTCCACGAAGTTGGATGTCGGCTGGGCGACTGCAACAATACGGGGTCGATTGCGGGCATTCGCGCGTGGGCTTCCCGCGTGGGCTCGCCCGCCAGGGCCCTCCTTCTCACCTGGTGCGGCTCGCTGGCGACATGCGTAAGTCATGATGCAAATCTTGGGAGGCTAAATTCAGCATTGGCGCTGGTAGATCCGTGGTCAAAAGCTGGGCTAGTCCGGCACACTCCCGTTTCATCTGGAGCGATCCTGCCCGACTTCATCCTGTTGTGTTCGGCTTCGATCCCGGCTCAATGCTTGATCCTGCTTCATGGCGCCTGAATCGGGCCCATTCGCTCGTAATCCGTCTTACGATGTCGCTCGTACCCATTATTGCGAAAATCTTCTTGGAGTTGCCTCAGAAGATTGCGCGGGCATTCGCGCGTAAGCTTGTTGCCAGTTCCACGAGGGGCGGCGCGCTGGCGGCATGCGTAGGCATGGTTGCAATTCCTGGGTGGTCAAAGTCAGCATCGCCACTGGTATACCCTTGGCCGAAAATCGTGTCAATCGGGCTAGATCCCGGCCAATGCGGGGCCCAAGCCCGTCAGTTCCACTTAGTCCCGGATTCCAGATGGCCCAGTCTGGCTCAGTGTGCTTTACATCGGGCCTACTTGCCGTTTGAAGTTGTTCTCACGAAGACATTCCAGGGTTTGCCTGCTAACGGGAGCAACAGCGCAAGGTCGCTGCGCCGTTGAGCTCAAAAACCCCTTTTCTGGGCAAACCAAACGGTACCAATACCGCTACACCCCGGACCTTTCCCGGGGTGCCTTCTGACCAAAATTTCGAGGCGAATCCAGCGGTGACGACGGGGGCCTATCAGGAGGCCCGAAAATGCGAAGACGAAGGAAGGGTAACGGTAGCGGTACCTTCTCCTCTGATTTTCTTCCTTCGTGGCTCGGCTGTGGCTCGGGCGTTCTGCGCCCGTCGCGTTCTCGACCTGTGTGCTCTCTCTGCAGGGCGGCGGCAGTGGACGCAGGGAGAGGGCCGCTCCGCGAAGAGGAAGAGGAAGAGGACCCGGGGTCGGAGGAGGAGGGGAGGAGGACCCACTACCTGTCGTGTAATGAAAATATCGGGAGCACCCCGCTGTTGCGGATAAGAGTGAGGGGGTGGGCGCGGGGTGGATCGTGGTTGGGTCGCGGGCGAGTTGGTGATGGGTCGCGGGCGGGTCGCGGGTGGGTCGCGGGTGGATTTCGGGTGAGTCGTGGGTGGGTCGCGGGTGGATTTCGGGTGACTCCATGGTAGCCTGGCCACCTTCTCTGCCAGAGGGCGACCGCTTAGCTCGCAACCCATGTTTGGTTTTCTTCGGTCTCGACGCGCGAGTCCATTGTTGTCTCGTTGAGCGAGTCCAGGGTTTCGGGATCGGGCCTTGCAGGCGGAGTGCGGCTTTGCTTTGCGATGTTCCTGTCTTTCCCTTCTATTGCCCATTGGAGGCGAGCGGGAGATCTAGACTGGTTGGGACCCCAGCAAATTGGTCAGAGGGGGGGAACTAGGCCAAATCCTATCGCAGCTTGTGCCCGGGCCCGTTCCGGGGTCCATCTCGTGTACCTCTTCAGTCCGGATCTGTTTTTCACGGTCCTGGGGCCCGCAAGCGGCCCCTGGGGGCTGAAAAAGGCAAACACATTTCCTCTAAAGCCAAAGCCTCCAACCTGCCCGCCCTTCCTGCTGGCCAGAGTCAGTGCTGAGCCACTTCAGACCCCCAGACGGCTTCACATTGTCCCCAAAGTCATTGAGCGCCCGACAGGTTCCAGGTGCGCGCGTACAACGCGCGCGGCTCCACCTACAGCGATTGGGCCTACATCCGCGCCGCGGGCGAGCCGGTCGCCATGAGCCAGCCTTCCCAGGAGGGACCTTGGCCTGCGGGCAGTGCCAAGGGGTCAAGCAGTAGCGTGGCGCCCTGGCCCACCATAGGATGATCTGAGACCCTTCTGTTGTATGCACGGCAGGTTATCCGAACGTTTCTGGCTGACTCCGTCTTGTTTTCGCATATCGTTTTCTTGTGTTCTACGACCATGGCTCCTGGTACGAAGACATGTTTGATAGCATTCCGTGGTTTGCATAGATGCATATATATATTATATATATATATATATATATATATATATATATATGAAGCACGAGAGTTATATATATATATATATACATATATCGGCGCACCGGGTCCGGGGGCCCGGGGCCGGGACCTCGACCGCAAATGTGCACCCCGGGGGGCCCGGAGGCTCGTCGGGGCTTGCCGGAGGCCTCCCCAGTCAGACAAGACGGCCCAAGAAGCGCCCAAGACGGCCCAAGAAATTTCCAAGAGGCCTCCAAGAGGGCTCCGAGATGCTGAAGATGGCCTCCAGACGTCCAAGGACGCCCCCAAGAGGCCCCAAGAAGCCTCCAACATGCGTCCCAAGAGGGCCCCTAGACGCAAAAATTGGCCCATTCCCTTCGTAAAACGTACATTTTCAACAAAGTTGTCTTTTGGGCTTTCCGACGTTACAGGACGGCCCAAGAGGCGCCCAAGACCGCCCCAAGACGGCCCAAGAAGCTTCCAAGAGGGCCCCAGGACAGCCCAAGAGGGCCCCAAGACGGCCCAAGAGGCGCCCAAGATGGCCCAAGAGGGCCCCAAGACGGGCCCAAGAGGGGGCCCAGAGGAGGACCACGAACCGCAAGCTCGAGCCTTCCGCCCCAAGAGGCCGCCAGGAGGCCCCCAGGAGGCCCCTCAAGAGGCCCCGGGAGACCCCAGACGTCCAAGGACGCCCCCAAGAGGCTCCAAGAAGCCTCCAACATGCGTCCCAAGAGGGCCCCTAGACGCAAGAATTGGCCCATTCCCTTCGTAAAACGTACATTTTTAACAAAGTCGCCTTTTGGGCTTTCCGACGTTACAGGACGGCCCAAGAGGCGCCCAAGACCGCCCCAAGACGGCCCAAGAAGCTTCCAGAGGGCCCCAGGACAGCCCAAGAGGGCCCCAAGACGGCCCAAGAGGCGCCCAAGATGGCCCAAGAGGGCCCCAAGACGGGCCCAAGAGGGGGCCCAGAGGGGGACCACGAACCGCAAGCTCGAGCCTTCCGCCCCAAGAGGCCGCCAGGAGGCCCCCAGGAGGCCCCTCAAGAGGCCCCAGGAGACCCCAGACGTCCAAGGACGCCCCCAAGAGGCCCCAAGAAGCCTCCAACATGCGTCCCAAGAGGGCCCCTAGACGCAAAATTGGCCCATTCCCTTCGTAAAACGTACATTTTCAACAAAGTCGCCTTTTGGGCTTTCCGACGTTACAGGACGGCCCAAGAGGCGCCCAAGACCGCCCCAAGACGGCCCAAGAAGCTTCCAAGAGGGCCCCAGGACAGCCCAAGAGGGCCCCAAGACGGCCCAAGAGGCGCCCAAGATGGCCCAAGAGGGCCCCAAGACGGGCCCAAGAGGGGGCCCAGAGGGGGACCACGAACCGCAAGCTCGAGCCTTCCGCCCCAAGAGGCCGCCAGGAGGCCCCAGGAGGCCCCTCAAGAGGCCCCAGGAGACCCCAGTCGTCCAAGGACGCCCCCAAGACGCTTCGCGTCACCAATTTCTTCTCGCAACGATTCCTGGGTCTGTGACTCGACAGAACCTAAGCGCGCGCGAAGCGCGCGCGTGGTTCTAGTGTGTATATATATACCGGGAAGGTCAGCCCCTGCTCAAAGGGGGCACCAGCAAGAGGAATCACCAACTCCTGGAACTCGAGGAAAGATGGCCTTACACTCTGGCGTCGCAATTTCAGCCACACGCAGCGATTTAGTTTAATGTCGTGCTCCAGGACCATCACAGATCGGCCCAGCTCGAAAAATGCCCCAGAAATATTGGATCTAGTGCTCCGGTCGTGATTCGCGTTCGTGCATATATTCGTTGCGTCGGATCTCAGGAGGAGAAGCAAGAGTCGAGCATCCAGAAGGTTTGGGACGTTTCTGTGTCGTCTC